CACATGTGCAAAGACAACTCAGGTGAGTTCTGGCGAGGAATGTGTCTGCAGGTTTTAGACCTTGCAAAGAGACTCATTCCCAGTCTGCAGACAGGGAATCATAGCAGGTTTAATCCAGCTACTCCAAGGAAACCTGATACACCTGTGAGTTAACTCCCAATTCCTTTCTTTGCTCTAGCATGACTGTGTGCGGTTTTCCATACACTCACCACAGAAAACCCGGGCTGGAATTCAATGTGTGCTTTTAGAAAGCCTGTATTAAATTTAGGTCTTGTTTTGTGATATTCAGGTCAACTCCAATGATGAAAATGGGGTTCTGTATGGAAACTGGTCTGGGAACTACGCAGATGGTACCCCTCCAGTCTACTGGACTGGCAGCTCGGCTATCCTACAGCAGTACTATGAGTCCAGAGAGCCAGTGCGCTATGGACAGTGCTGGGTGTTTTCAGGAGTTCTCACTACAGGTAATAAGACAACAGTATTACAGTGTGTTCTTCTTCCAAACACAGCTCAAACTAACACTATTTTTCAACTTTGACAAATCTGCCGAATAATTATGGAGCAGACTATGGCATTGCTGCCTCGCAGTGCTGGAGTCCTGGGCTCACTTCCAGATCTGGGGTGCTGTGTGTATTTTCTCCCTGTTTTTCCATGGGTTTCCTCCAGGTGCTTTGGTTTCCTCCCACAGTCAAAAGACATGCTGGTATGTGAAGTGGCTTCTGGGACAATTGCTCCTGGTGTGTGTGTCTTTGTGATGGACCTGACCCCCTGCTTTGCACTCATATCTTGCTGGGATAGGCTCTGTCTCCCCCAAGACTGAATTGGAAGAAGCAGATGGATGGATAAAATTAAACCAATATGACTATAACATTTTTGGAAAAACTGGTGTCCTCATGTTTATAGGTGCAACAGTGTGAAGCTTGGAATACAGTAGGTGGTCTTGACTCTGCTTAATACTTACTATCTTGTTTCCAGTTTGCCCTTTTTAACAAAACTTCTGGAATGAGTGATTGCAGCTCAGAAGTACTGTAGCTTCCTTCTCAAGTTTGAAACTTTCCACCCGGGGTTTAGAGAGAGACAGAGCACTGAAACAACCTTTGTCAAGGGGGTCAGTCATTTGCCAATGGCCTCTGACTCCATGATAATGTTCCTCCCCTACTGGATGAAGTAGTTTGTGTTACTAAACTTTCACTCTGGTAAATGTTAAATTGAGGGATAATAATAATACGAGCACATGCTATGCAAAACACACCAAACACCACGGTTCTCCCGTCCAGTGATGAGGTGCCTGGGAATCCCGTCTAGGAGTGTGACCAACTTCTGCTCAGCCCATGACACAGAAGGAAACCTGACTATTGACATCTACCTTAACCAAAAGGGGGAGAAGCTAAACGACATAACCACCGACTCTGTTTGGTAAATGTTTTTTATTTCCTTCCAAGGTAGAAATTGAGCTTTATCATAGCATCGTGCCTTAATGCATACTACCTTCAGCTGTGGAGTAGTTGACTGTGTCTGGTTCTAATGGAGACCAGTCCAAGGCGTGGTTCTGGTATACAGAATGGAATGTATAGTGTGGGAATATACAGTAGATGATGCAAATAAACTGGGATCGTTCAGAAAGTTCACTGGATCAGGAAGCAGACTACTCTCAATAAGGCAGTATTATTTCCAGGCTTTGAGGTTTCTCGTGCTCAGAACGAAATCCTGTGTCTGTGCAGGAACTTCCACATGTGGAACGACGTGTGGATGAAGAGGCCAGACCTCCCGGAGGGTTACGATGGCTGGCAGGCGCTAGACGCCACGCCGCAGGAGGAGAGTGAAGGTGGGAGGAAGAGCGTTCGCCCGTCACCGCTGACGGCTGGGTGCCACGTCTGCAAACACCGTATCCTGCCAGACGAAGCTTCTTACAGGGCAGGAGAGTCTGGATTCTAATCTCACAAGCAGCACCTATAAAAAAACAGTACCTGAGGCCTGAGGCATGTACCTGGAATGTGAAGTGATTTACGCAGCTTACGTTAGTTACCACCTGGTCGTGGTTGGAACCTAGTTAACCTAGTTTACCCCAATCAGTTGTGAGCCCTGAATGCCATATTGGCAAGGCAGTGCAGAGTACACACAGTTTCTGGGCTGCGTAAAAGAGTGTAAAATCCTGCCTGCTTTCTGATCGTGTCCTCATAGTCTTTAAGCAGTACAGCCAGCCAGCGTTTTTTTTCTTGAATGTACTTGAGGCAAGTTTCCACCCTGTTTAGCATCTCAGAAGTGGTAGAATCAGGATACGGGTTAGTCATGCTGCTGACAAGGAAATGACAAATTGCTTGGAAGGTGATGAAATAGCAGGTATGTGGCACACATACTGTATCTATAAGTCACTTGATAAGAAAACCTTTCCGTGTCTAGGTATTTTTCAGTGTGGCCCGTCACCTCTGTCAGCCATAAAGAAAGGTGAAGTCTACTTGGCCTACGACACCAAGTTCATCTTTGCCGAAGTCAATGCTGACAGGATCATCTGGCTGGTGGAGAACCCTAAAACTGACCAGCAGAAGACCACCAGACTGCGGGCTCACTACAGCGCCGTGGGCAAGAACATCAGCACCAAGGCCCTGGGCAAGGACGAGCGCCAGGACATCACCGAGCTGTACAAGTTTCCAGAGGGTGTGATACAGTGGTGTTTACCTGTTCATGACCTGCGATTAAATGGGACCTGAAGAGGACCCACTGATTTGTGAATATTTCGTGTTAATAATCAGTGGTCAGATTGTGGGCTCAAAGTACATGATCCAGTGACAACTGAGCAATATCAAAAGAACAGCACCTAGACACTGGGCATAGACGCCCGAGAACCTGAGTTAGTGACCATTAGGGCTTCGTTATGACAGTTGACCCTACTGCATAATCCTTAGGCCTACAAAAACAATATGGAATCAAGAAAATACCTAAAATATTCAAATGCTTGTATGTTTATCAATTACACAGTGATATGCCATTTAGCCTATCAAGGTTTCCTGGTCCTGCAGAAAAGCAGAAGAGGCAGTAGTGTGAGTCTGGATAGGATGTCCACCTCAATTGATTTTGGGGGGTGGCACGCAATTTTGAATAGATGGTATGTTGCACGGAAAAAAATGGGGAAAAAAATATGCTCTACAGTATATCAATGCTTTTTTACATGGGTGGCTAGTTGGAGTAGTTAGGAAATGTGTTATTCCCTTGAATCAAAGATTGGAAAATGTCTTCTATGAGCAAAGGCTGGTGAAAGTGTTCGCAGTGGTGCTGATCTAAGCCCAGACCTCTGCCTCACCCTTAGGTACCCCGGAGGAGAGAAAGGTAATGGAAAGAGCTTCTGCAGTTTGTTTCCCGGATGTTCCCATCCCAACACCTCAGTCTATCCAGCTCGGCTTTGAGTCGGACAAGTCCTTCCTGCTGGGATCCCCCATAACTTTCCAGATCTCGCTCAGCAACAACTCGTCTCAGAGCCAAGCTGTTGCCCTCACGGCAGCCTGCCAGCTCCAGACCTACAATGGAAAGACACTGGCCACCATCAAGGCCTTGAAGCAGGAGGTGACGGTCATGGCCAACGCCTGTAAGGCAACTGTTTCTTTCATTGCTCTGTATTGTGGCCCGAAATCAAACCCCTGACCCTAACCCTAACCCTATACTCAACCCCAAACACAATTCTGAATCTAACCCTCAATACATCCCTGTCCCGCCCATAATCCTAACCCTCAGTTCAGCCTATCCCTAATCTTTAACCTGATGCCAACCCTAACTGTAGCACAAACCATTGCCTTTGCTTTAAGTCAAACCAGGAATTTCCACACCTTTAACTCAACACCTCAAATGAATCCGTTTTCCTATCTGTAAGCTCTGTTGCCTATTCCTAAATCATAGCAAATCCCTAGTCTTAGTCTTAACCTTATCCTTAACCTGACCTTCTCAGGTTTAAGGTCTAAGTTTAAACTGCCTCAAGCATAACCCTTATGCTCAATCAGGCCCTAGCTCTAACCATAACCCTGGTTTTTGTTTCTTAACACTTAACCAAGTCTCTGACCTCTGTCATGACATTTACTTTTGCTCCCAGTTGTTTCCACCCCTGCCTCCTGGCTAACCAAATGCTGTGTGCTTTCTCTTCTCATTCTGTTAGGCACTTCTGTTCCGGTAGTCATCGAGGCCAGTGACTATCTGCAGCACCTGTCCATGGCTAGCGATGATCTTCTTGTGAGAGTTACTGCAGTGGGCGAGAACAAGGACTCCAATTCAGTCTTCGCAGATGACACCACTCTCTCCTTCAAATATCCACCCATCACTGTTGATGTAAGCTGTGGGTGAAAACTACCACAAAGTACTTCATAGGGAAATGAAAAAAAGGGAAAATATGGATATAATGTAGTGTATGCTATGCACAATGTTTTTTTTTTAAATATAGCTTGATTAGTTCTTGAGATGGAGTGCCCAGGTTTTGATCTAGTTATTGATTTATTTGATTGAGTTATGGCTGACAGCCATATGAATATAAATATGTTGGGGAATTCCCATTTAGCAATTAAAAAGACAAGAGAGGCAACTTCTTAAGCTGTCTTCATGCCATCTTCTGAATCCACATCCCAGTACGCCCTGTCGTAGTGCTCATATTCATTGCTCAGCCCCATGGTGTATATATGGGGCTTGATGGGATTTGTAAAGGCAGGCCTGGATGATGCTGTCTGAGTCTGAGTAAACCAAGGCAGGTATTTAGCACGTGCCATTTTCTTTCGTTTCTATGAAACACCCATTTCCCCCGGTTACCGAAAGCTGCACTTACACATTCGAGCTGATGCTGCACCTTGTCGTTGACGTCAGTTGTCTATCAGAGTTGACCTTTGAGGGGAAGGAAGTGAATCTTCCCACTTAACCCAAGATGGTGGATCTGGGGACCGTTCAGTGAGAACTTTGGAAGAGATCACAACCTCAGCCTTCTGAGTGTTAAGCACCAGTCCTGTTTACTTGTACGCCTCTGCAAGGACAAACGAGCGCATACCCCAGCATCCAACAGCTACTCTGATGGGCGACTGCATCGAGTTGAACCCACGTGAAGTCGAGATCTTGATACCTGTGATTTTGTTTCTGTTCCTCTTTCTCAGATGCCAGCAACAGCCAAGACCGGCGAGCCCTTCACTTGCACCTTCACCTTTAAGAACAACATCGGTGTGGTGATGGAGAGCTGCAAGCTGCACGTGGAGGGACTGGGGCTGTTCAGGCTGGAAACATTCGACCAGGGGTAAGAGAGCATTTACCCAGCTTGCAGCAGACGTGCCTTTTCTTTTATAAGCAGAATTAAAAGCCTCTGTTTTTAAGTGGCTTCTATAGCATAACTTATTGCTTCTCATTTGGATGTTTTAGGCCTGCGGGTTGGTGGTTTTTTAGCAGGGGTTTACTTCTCCATAGTAAAAATATGATCTGGAGACTTCCGAGTAGTACTGGCGGTAAGGAAACTTGCCTCAAGTGTCACAAAGAGCTTCTGTGATCAGGGGTTCGAGCCTGGGTCACTAGCCAACTGTGACTGCGATTCCCAAAGCCAAGCGCTGCTTCGGGTTGGGTGGGAGTCTGCCAGGAACCTCTTGGCTCTCAGCGACACAGTGACCCCCGCGGTCTCCTGGGTTCTCGCAGGCCTGCAAGTGTGTTGTACAGCTAGACAGCTGGACTCAAACTGAGTTTTTGAAAAGCGCACAATGGAATAATCCAGACTGGGGCGCAGTGCAAGAAACAGTTGGCGTTTCTACATAATCTGTGGCTAAAACTGGATCTTTTACGTCCTCTCCTAGTAACGTGAGGGCTGGTGGGATCTTCAGATCCAAAATCATCTGCACACCAGACAGAAGAGGTGAGCGGAAGATCATCGCCAAGATCACAAGCGACCAGATCAGTGGGATCAGTGCAGAGAGATCAATCACCATCATCTGAGCTTGATGTCAGCAGGTGAACACAGGATCTCTGATGATGACGGGACATTTCCCTTATAATCTACTGCTAAATTTGAAAATTATATCATAGATTTTGTGGTAATGCCTAATTGCATAATTCACTTTCTAACCATTCACGAAGAAATCAAACTGAAGCGTTATTAAGCAAAATAATCATTGTTCATCATATTTAAGATTAGGATATCAATGGATATTTGGTGTTAACATGCAATCAGAAACAATGCATTATGTGAATGATTATCAGTTGAGTTAATCAGGGGATGGGAAATGTATTTTTGTCTTTTTTTTGGCAAGACTGGTTACTCTTCCTTTGCTGGGGAAAAATAAGATTGCAAATACCCCATCACTTTTTTGTTTGTCTTAATCTTTTGCATTTCAGTGAAACTCATCTCCCGATGTAATTTCCTACTTGTGTTGAAAAATACAGTTCTCCTGCATGATTTGCAACACTATAGAAATCTGCAATTATTAATAAAGCTCCAAAACAGGTTGCAAGTCAGCTGAAGGCCATTTCCAGTCTGTCAAGAGTCTTGTGAGTTAAAAATGATTAGGCAGTTGCTATTTTCCAGCACTCCAGATCGGAGCAACGTGCCTTTATTAATCTGCACAGCCTCCCGCAGGGGGTCATTAGCTGGTTTTCCTCTGTGGTTTTCTTCCTTGCTCTGCTTGCCTGTTTGTTTTCTGAAAGCATGACGTGTCTGGGCCACTAACCGTGCTAAAATTATTAGGTTACCATGGGGACGTTCTCGTCACATGTAGCACGCCGATTCTTGAAGTGACCTTAATTTACTAAAACCTATTCACGTTTTTGTCACATTTAATATTGCCTGATGCAAAGAGACCGTTTTAACTGCACCGCACACACGTTCTTCTGCCTCAGGTGTGCACACCGGGGAGGTGTGGCCTGCAGGCTCTCAGAGCCCAGCTCAATCACTTGAACAGTGTTGTGGTTGATAGCAGCAGGGATGAGTCAGACAACCACAGGTAAAATAAAATCACCAGTGAGCAGGCGTCCACAGCAGAAGGGTGGACCTGTGGTCAGGCCTTGGCACCAGTAAGTGGAAGGTCGTGGGGTGACAACGTCCGGGATGTGTCGTTGCAGAATTACGTGCTCCGCTAAAATATAACTGGGATGATTTTGTGAGTCTCCCTGCCTCCACCTCCACATATTTTTGACGGTTTCTGTGCTCCATCCATCCATCCGTTTTCTATCGTCTATTTCCATCTCTCGCTTTAACCAAGACAGGGTCATGGGGGGAGCCGCAGCCCGTGCTGGCTGGGCAGGGGACACCCTGGACAGGAGACAAGCCCAGCTCAGGACAGACACACACAAACACACACACACACACACTCACACCAGGGCCACGTTTCCCAGAAGCCAGTTCACCACCCAGTATGTGTTTGGAGGAACGTGTGGGAGGAAAGCAGGGCACTCAGAGGAAACCCACATGAACACAGGGGGGGCACAGGTCTGGAACTGAACAAGCACTGAGGCAGCAGCGCTGACTGCTGCTCCACCTGCCTTCATGACTCTGAAATATAGTGCGCTGGGGTTACAGTCTTCAGGACCTGATGCTTAGTTGAAACGTCCAGTAGATGGTGCAAAAACCCATAGACATACAAGCCCCATTCTGGAGAAGGGTGACACGTTAATGGTTGCTGAAGTTATCATGGGATTAGAGCAACTATTATTAGGCTCGGAGTGGTATACAAAACATTTCACTGGTCTTTGTCTCAGCTGCTGTTTGCATTTTCCACTGAGTGACACCTACACCTGTCACAGCTGAGCTGTTCAATGGACATGCAATTTATACTCACATGAAAGTCTGAGAATGAAATGCAACAGCATCACCAGATAACAGCACATTTATTAGTGAAGTTACAACCTGTTTCAATGCTCAGATAGTTGACAGCATTTCGGACTGAGGTCTGAATGCATATTTCATTAAATTGTTGTCTGAAGCTTGTTATTAAGGAAGTACTTCTGGTTAATTATACTGGTAGTACATCTGTTTTATAAATGAAACAGTTAAGACCTTGAGTCCTTAACTGTGAGCACCTTAAAATAATTCATTCTATGAATTATGTTACCTTTCATATTGAAACAATTATTGGAGTATTAAGCCATGTTTTTATCTTGAATTCATACAAGAACAACGCACCTAGTTAAAAAATGAGTAATCCTAGCTTTTAATTGTTCCCTTTATTTGGGATGCAGCTAACAGCAGCTGGCAGGTGAACAGGAGGAAATTAAAAAGAAGTCCTCCAACCCGCCCTTGTCATGAAACAGGCCGTTTGTGAAATTATGAAATCTTTGTCGTGTATACTTCAGCGCGGAGTTAGTCTCCACTTGGTCCTCTGCAGCTCCCTTATCTGAGCGGGTAACACAGCCCAGTTATCGCACAGATCAGACATCCTTCTTACCTCCCGCGAACTCGAGAGAGCGGTGTTGGTGTTGGGGCGGTCCGCTGCAGCAGCGCGCGGCGCCGAGTTACACGAGTCATATAATTCAAGTACACTGGTCTGCACACCAACACAATCGCGGTTAGCTAGTAAACGGGAGTTTAGAGTCGTGAAGGCACAGTTTCTGCTGGTCCACTCACAGGCAGCCGCGGTATCGTGGCGTAAGAGCGTGGGGGCGGCTCTCAGGGCGCCTCCGTGATTTCGATGACATCCTCCTCCACGATGTCCCCCCGCGGGGCCACGTGCACGCGGGCGGGCGGCCTCCTCTCGCAGCTCAGGTCGGTGAAGGGGCTGAGCCAGGCCAGCGACGGGGGGCCCCCGAACGCCGCCCTCATCCCCTCCCGGCACCCCGTCTTCTCCCAGCTGGGCGTCTGGCCCTTGAGCCGCTCGATGCCCTGCGACGGAAACACAGCAGTGACCCAGCGGGCAGGGGGCGCGAGTGTGCCCCGGGAGAGGACCGCGGCGCAGTGCGGGAAAAAAATAAACAAGGCGCTGGGGTTAAAAACCCACCTGCTTTGCAAACCCCCGGTTTTTATGAGCCAAATGTTTTGTATATAAAAAAAACCAAACATCCATAATTAAACACTAATAAGGAAACCTTTGCTATATTATATGCCCTTGAACGATTACTTTTATCTTGTACGAGCAGTGATTATATTAGGCACTAAAAAGGAGGGAGAACCATCAAAAGGACAGGACATGAGAACATAAGGTCTCAAATGAGAGGAAGCCGTTTGGTCCATATGGGCCGTTTGCTAACTCGTAGTTAACTGATAAAGGATCTCATCTGTTTCTCGAAGAAAAGCCAGGGTAGCAACTTCAGCAACGTGGCCGGCAGCTTTTTCCAGTCTCCCACAACCCTGTGGGGAAAAGAATTGCCTCCTGCTCTCGGTCTTAAATGAACTTCCACACAGCTCCCACTTCTGCCCTCTGGTTAGTGTTTCACCGATAGAAACAGCTTTGCGTACGTGTGGTCGGAGTCAGCTGACTGGGACTAAAATCCCCCCCCAATTAATCTTAAAATACTGAGAGTACGGCTTTGAAAACATCATCAAAGTGAATCTGGGGGCTCACAGGTTTAGCTTCACACTACATCAGCTCTGCTTCTCGCGAGAAGAGCTCGCGATGACACTGACTGGCACCTGCTGGATTCGCAGTAGGGGGCCACTGGCCGGGCGTGAAGTTTAACCGCAGAATTTGATCTCTGCTGCTGAAACTGTAACGGACAGTCCGTCCCTAACTTTGTTCGACCGTGTGCGATGTCCAGAATGAAAAGGAAACAGACGCTGAAAAAGTCTTTTTGCAAGGCCCCCCCGGGTTTGGAGGAATTTATCGAAAGGCGTTAAAAGCACAGGGACATCCCCAGCAGCCAGTTCCCACTCCCGTGCTGGTGGAGCTCGTGGGAATGAGGAGCTCGGCTATCTGGGACGGCACTTCAAGGTGGACACAGGACGCGCGGGGCCGTGCGATATCTTTTGGACGGCCTGGGGACCCCCCTCCCCTGAACTCCGCTGCAGAGGCAAGGGAGGCTGGGTCCTCCCTAGACACCAGGCCAGCTCCGTGACCCACCGCAGGACACCCAGAGTGGAAACATGGACAAAACCTAACGCAGGCACACTGTTAAGAGGTGCGTTCACATAGCCAAACTAAAGTTAGGCTCTCGGCCTTTTAATATTTTGAACAATCGAAGGTTTTCAGCCCATAACAAGTAATGAACTTCAGAGACAGATCCAACAGGGACAGAAAAGGGAGACGTTCTCTGGAAAAAGTTTATTGCATTTATATTCAAAGTGAAAGTCATTGAATTAACATACGCAGCATTCTGATGGACACCTGAAATAGACGTACATTGTCAATACTGTATGTACATACAAAAGAAAAGAGTGACCGAAAAAAATTAACTAGAATCCCAAAGCACCACTTCTTTAAAAAAAATGATTCCAGCAAGAAGTTTCTACGATTATTATAAAAAACAATGGTCCAGTGGTTTAATCTGAGTAAACAAATTATGCTACAGCTCAGTACAGTCAAAGACGTTGCCCAAAGAAACAGCATATTTAGCATCATTCTAATTAAACATGCAGCACTGCTGTTAATATATCATTGTAATTTGAAGCATATTCTATAGAGCACAAACGTAGTCAAAACTATAAATGTGCTTTAAGAAGTAAAGCACTGTGTTCTCTGAAATACAGCCAGAATCTAAAATATGTCAGTTAAGAAATATTTACTTCCTCGACAAGAAAAATCCAGATATTTTCACAAAAACTAAAGATAGCCACTGGATTTAACTGTACTGGCTGGCAATTTAGAATTTGTAACGTTAAATCAATCTGTATGAAGGCAAGGTCGCTAAAGGTCAAAGATAAGAAGTCGTGTTTAAACCATATTTGACACTGGCTGTGTAAATATTTAGTCAATGTTTAAATACCTTGCTAAAATATGTACGCGTGTAAAAAAAGAAAAAGAACAGAATCTTGCACTTGCATGTAGAGACAATATGTTCTACCTGGGAAGACTGTTCCATTGTAGAAAATAAGATGGCAAGTAGCCTTAAAATCACTCTACACCACTTTAAAGGAGATGTGAAAAAAACACAAGAAGAAAACGTTTTGCGATTATTGAGCATTCCAGCTCATATCCTTATTTCTGACCAAATCTATTCAGCTAGAATAGCCGATCTTAGCCATCCAGAAAGTCACTTATTCTGGTAAGGGTCATACAGTATATACCCTGACTCTATCCCTTTATGCAGGGCAAATTAGGCATAAACTTTGTAAATTAACAACATCTGATTTGGGTTATTCATGTAGTGAGACACCACAAACCCCATCTGTAATGCAATAATTACCATAAACCCATCTTCATAACAGAACAGAGTGCATGTCAGTCATACAAAAAGGCAGACAAGCTTTGCACAGCAGTAATAACTTCACACCGATAATGACAGGGTACAATCTGGCCCACCCTCATGCAGAGACGGACAAGACCCCTGCAACAATCCTCTCTCGTTAAAAGGAGGTACAATTTGGCACCAGTGTTCCTGAACGGAAAGAGCTCTGTTGTGGTCTCAGGCCACCTGCGCTGCTTCTCCTCTGACGCTCACTACCCCCCTCTCTCTCAGGAGGGCCAGAAACGGGCGAGGAAGACAGGGGTGGCCGAAGAAGATCTCGATCACACACGTTCTCAAAGGTCAGATGTATTTGGCAAAATAAATTAAAGATAACAAACTAGGAAGCAGTGCTATCCTGCAGTGCTTTACTGAGGCCTGCAGCAGGTGCTGCAGAGAGGTAGGCAGGAGGAGATGGACGTGTCCCAGCAGGACTTGGCCGTTTCTGATAGCGTCTCAATACTCTGTGTCTACCATCCCCATTCATTGCGCGAGCAGAACAGCTCTGTTTAAAACCCCACTATAATGACTCCAAATAACACAGCCTGCTCTCTCCACACCAGTCTTTAGCTGTGCTTTTCCCCCACTGACTGACTGTTCTACAGAAAACTATGACAAAAGGAAGATTTGCAGCTCTAGGAGAAGTAACTGTTCAATCCATAATAGCATACCATTGTGATAATGCGACGCATGGCTTTTCCTTTTTACTTTTACTACCTTAGAGGGTCTAGAGATTCGCCTGAAACTTGTTATGGGACAAAAATAATGGGCGCATGAGCCTTTTTAACATCACAAGCACCGATATGATGATCAGAAAATGCAGGACTGTCACCACTGGAGACAGGTTTAGCCAACGTATAGAAATTAATCACTAACTTGTGGATTGTAATGCAATCCACTTCCTCCTGAACTGATGGCGCCTAAGCAAAGCCAAGACATGCAAAAGGATAGTTCAAAGTTCATAACTGATGTCATCGCTCCGAGTTACAAATGTAACGAACAGTAACAGAGAGCTGTTGTTGCCCTGTTTTTAAACCAATCAATCTCGACTGGTTTAATTAAAGGGAAAAAGAGAGAGCCCCAGTCCAATTAGGTTTTGCCCCAATACATTAGTTGTGCTAAAACATGTTTCTAAAACTGGTTGTCAAATCAATGTGCTCAATAAAAGGAACTTGTATCCCTGAAGGTTAGATTTATGGTCTAATTTCTAAATTAAAATCACTTACAATTGATTACAATTTATCCCCTTATTACCTTTTCCTAAAAAAGCCTGCTAGATTGTGGCTTATGGGGTTAGTTATTAATAGAACTTTTTCCTGTCTTGATGTGGGGGCACATCAAGAGTCAGCTTAATATGGTCTTTTGGCAAATTTAAAGATTTTTAACATTTAATTTAAATTAGTATATATATATTCATTGTCAGACAACTTTCTGAATAGTGGTTGTCTCGACTTTGCTTCTCACACAGATCTGCAGCGTTTTGGGTCCTGTGCAGCAGACATCTTATTCCTTTCAAACAATACACATTGCTTTGGGAATATTACACGCTGAGGTCCTACAGGTGCCATACTGTATAGTGCCTTTACTGTGCTTAGCATTGCTAATTTGAAAGCACTTTATATTATATTAAAGCCATTAGCAGTATAATGTTGTTAGTGTTGCTCAGTTAATTTATGCTTTAATCACAGCCTCTTCAACATTATTGGCACTCACATTCTCACAGTCACAAAGCCAAAGTCAGAATTTCAATAAGATAACAAAACCGCAGATGTCCAAGTCATCTACAGAGCTGTGCGTTGGAGGTGACTTTCTGTGGAACTGAAGATGAAGAATATTTGAATAATTTGGTCATTTTGAAAAAGAGGACACATGAACCCGTATTTATACAATGATCCAAAAGTAATGTCTTTTTATGCCTTGTTTAGAAGTTGAATATATTTCACAGAATCCCTGGACATCCCTGTTTTTCTTATCAGCCAAAGTTAAAATTACTCATAAAAGGTGTTCGAGCAAAAATAATCATACGGACAATTTAAACACTGGCGCACATGGGCTAAGGACAGCTGACTTCCATAATTGGAAGTTGCCTTTAGGATAAAAATGAAAAATAAGAGAGAGACAATCACATACCCACTAATTATGATGATGGTATCAGCGTGACTGCCTTATTTTTCACTCTTCAGGGATTTCAGTTGCAGGTAATATTACGTTACGCTCTCCTACAGATGGTGAAACCATCTTCTAAAGGACATGATATATTCTCTCCACTACATAAAAAGGTATTTAAAACGGAATAATATACACTTTCAAACTTTCTTGTACAGCAAGTTTTCATACAGTTTACAGTACCAGTCCACATGGCCTGAACTGACTGAACAGACTCCAAGGCTTTTCTTCAAGCACAGAGCAGGAGGTTCAGCAGTGGGTGGTGGCTGAAAATACAATGGCAATCTCAGCTCATGGTACCGCCAGGCAGGTAAAGAATAAAAGCACATCCAGAAACGAAAGATTCAGATTGCACCGGTGCGAACAGGGAGGAGAAGCGATTTCAGTTAATACGTTAACAGCCGAGGCGAAGCAGAAGACTCAGGATCTCAGAACGCAGATGAGGAAGGCGGTTCTTTTTCTCTGCAACTGCTCGACGCGAAAGAAAACCAAACCATCGAAACTGGAGGGGGAAAAAAAAGGCAGGAGACTGAAGAGGTGTTCTTTGAGTGCGGTTTACAATCGTGTTCCACGGCGTGCGCTGGGGACGGCCCACTTCATCCATCTCACACAACATACTGATAGGGGTCTGCCTTGCCGTGATCGGGGGTGGCGAAGGGGCTAAGCCAGGCTATAGAGAAGGGGTGTCCGAACACCGCCTTCATGTTCATCCACTTAGTTTTTTTAGCCCATCTTCGCTCTTCCTTTTTCAACTGCTCTATCCCCTGAAAACAAGAACAACCAAAGCTTCAGTAAAGGTAGAGAAGTTAACGACTTTGCTTGAGTAAACTCGGCTGAAAGCAGAGAGAACTGTTCTAACACAGCGCCTGGTGGCACCAGATCTCCGCACAAACATTGACTAAATACGATGCAGACAAAAATAGAACAGTTTCTCAAATGTCTGAAACCCATGCGTGAATACATCTGCTGTTGGATCGGTTTTTAAACAGAAAGCTTTGCGTTTAAGGAACAGAACAGAGCGACTAATTCAACATAGTAAATGAGGAACATTTTCAGTGACACTGCTAATGTCTACAGATGGGCTGCTTTGAGATTTTTTTTGATGTTGCAGAAAAAAAGAAGCTGAGAATAAGAAAGAAAAATAGTTTAGTAAGAGTTAAACAGGCAGTAGAAACCATTACAATTATAATTAGGCAGCAAGCATCATGTATGAGTTTTTTAGGCACAGCATTTCAGTGAAGTCAGATACTGTACAGTATAATCCCACAACTCCAGATAATCATTAAAGTGATTCTGACAGGAACAACTTTGAGACCCCCATTTCATTCATCAAACTGAGAATAAAGGCAACTTATTACTTTTATTTATGTTGTAACACTAGAAACGTAAATGGACATAAATACCCCTTTTGAATTATTTAAATGGGAAATAACTTCAGCAAGATAAACCAATGTTTTGTTAGAAATCTTCAAATACCTATCCTTGTTTAGCAAAGGTACTTAAGTAAACTACAAAAGAGAGTTCTTTGATTTGTTGAATGGTTATATTACTAATATCTTAAAGATAAGTAGATAAATGCAGACAATAGCAAATCATAATTGTAGATTACAGTAAATTATGTGTGCTCATCTGCCCAAAGTGAATAGTAATTCCTGTAAAATTCAGGCAGTTGAAGAAGGACTTAGTTCAGAAAATACAGCTTCCTTGCACTAAAAGTGCCTGGGATTCCCTTCTCTTCTGTGTGCTGGCATTACACTCTGCTTTCACTGGCTCCAGTAGTGGAAACAACGAAACACTTGTTAAAACCCTGCAGCTGTGACTCACGGAACTACCTTTCAAAAAGTTAAAACGCTGAGGTTGAAAGCAAGGCAAAAACCAGGCTGTTTCTATTTCTTTTATATCAGTGAAGGGGGCTCTACACCTTTCTTGGTTGGGGATGCCTAGTTCAAGATATCAGTCTCAATCAGTTCCCCTCCAATCTGAACATGAGCTCAGACCAAAGTGCAAGATGTTACAGATGAATATGTATTCTACAACACAAAGAGTAGGACTCCAGATCCACTCCGGTGTTGATCGAGCAGATCCACTGGGCGAGAAAACTGATTTTAGCAAACGAACTCGGGCCGAAAAGTCCACCTTTATTTCTGTAAAAAAAGCCCTGCTGGAAAGTCTCTGGGTATTCTCATTATCCTCAGATCAATAAACCATTAATATATGATGTTGTTACACTTGGCGATTAATTTCCAAAGCAGACCAACCATTCTAGCAGAAATGTGTTTTGTGCAATAGAAATCACTGCTTTCTAACACAAAACTAAGCTTCCACTAGACTACTGCACGGATGTTACTGGCTTTTTTACTTGTATTATTTTGCCAGCACATACTGTAGGTCTGCAAAGAGAGCCTCATCCTGTGTTCAAACATCTGATCGGTCAGAATCACCAAGTGGGTCAAAAACAAGTTTTTGTTGATTCCATCATCAGTCTCGAAAGCCTCTCTCAAGGACTAAAACACAGGCCAGAGCTCCTAGCACGCCTCCGTGCATGCCTTCTGCAGACCGTGCTCTTTCAGAGGCGCGTCGCTCAGATCTCGCTGGTCATGGTGGGCAGATTCAGCTCAGAGGACTTGAATCGGCGCCTTCTGTCAAACTGGGGCGCTGGGATCGTCAGGCCGCGTGTGTGGCAGTGACCTCAGCACACGTCAGCGTTTCAAGCCGAACACAAACAACGCCTCTAAAACAAATGGCCAAAGGAGGCCCGAGGCCAACGAGCTGTCTGGTTCCAGCCGGGCGATGTACCAATGTCTCTCTCAGCCGCAAGATGCAAAAAATAACCCCCCAGTGTCCTATATGAAGGACACAAGACAAACAGCACTGGATTAGTAATTAATCCAAAGATTCACCTCGCCTGGCCTCTGTCATTTAAGACGACTGCCAGACTTTGAGCTATTTACTTACATAAACGTCCCAGGAAAGTAGCTCACAGCCCGAGTATCCAGGAAGCCAGGGGGTTTGTCTCATCACCTCTACAAGCTGCGCCAGCCTTCAACACTCGGGAATGATGAACATAAAAACAACTTGGAGCTGACGAGCAAGAGCCATGTTTAGGCGGCCTTGGGAACAGTCTCCCAAGTCTGTATTAGATGACAGCTTGGACCCGCATGGCCTCCTGCTGTGCTTCTGCCTGTTCTCCCCAGTGTGCCGGAGGAGGCTGCGCGCCCACTCCCTGCCACTCAGCCCCACATCGTGAGGGCGCTGGTGGTCTGCAGGCCGTCTTGCACCGCCCGTCACGCTCACAGTGACGCTTAGCAGCACTTCACGCCCACAGGTTCTGATCTGGCTTGCTGATGTTCAGAGGACACTGCTGGGACCAGCTTGCCTTCCAGCCCAGGGAGAAATAAGAGCTATACAGGGCCTGATACAAAACACCCTTGCACTGCTTCAGACCAAGTTTCAGAAGATAAGTCAGGTGATCCAGCTCCGTCTCACTCCTTATATGCTGCACATTAAGCGTGCTAATACCAACCTCTGGCCTTGGCCAGAATACATGTACAGTTATGTTTTTGTACAGCTATCAGATCATCTCATTGCTTTCATTTGACATGTTAAGCAAATGAAATCAAACCATCACAACAGAAAAACGTTCTCACAAAATTTGCACCATAAACAAATCATCTAATTTTACTGATGTCTCTCCTAATAAATAGGAAAGTGTTTTAAAATGGTAAGAAATAAACAAAAAACAGTTCACTAAGTGGGATGAGTAACAACTACAGGTTTTAGAAGGATACGCTGTTCCATTTTAGAAAAAGATTAACATTCTTAAAACAGTCTACAAATTAAATAACATATTTCCATGGTACCATACAACTACATTTTATGTAAACTGTTTTTTCATCTGCCTGCTGAGGGTTTCTTATAGAGTAGGTGTAGACTTCAAATAAAAGCCATCTGCCATTGAAGAAAGCCAAAACTAGGAAGATTAGAGGAATATTACATTGCTTGTATTATAAGACATATAGATTCTGGAAGAAACAGGGGATAACAATAATGTACTTAAGTATTAGAAACTATTCAAACTAGAGCAGCTATTCAGTGCTGAGTGCATGTTGAGGTAAATATGATCCCGGATTATGATCTTTAATGTGGAACACACAAATTTCAAAGCAAGGTTCTCTTTTTGTTACACTGACATTAAGGTGTGCTCCTTTGAGTCTCTCGGAAGTTACCAGCCCTCCCTAAAGTGAAATTTCTCTAAAGTATTACTGTTATAAACATCTGTGCTTACAGATTTGAAAATGTGGAAGAAGCTGTCTTGTAACAGAGATGAATAGGACACTTTATTAAAATCATACACTTCTATAATCTACTTATACAGAGCACAGCATTTCTTGGTGCCTTGTACTGTTAATAAGCAGCGCCCTTATCTGGTTTGAATAAATACTACTATTTTTAAGAACAGAAACACAGTTTTGTCTCTCAATACTACAATGGCTTTTCCTGTCATTTCAAATCAGGAAATTAGGCTCCAGAGGTCTGGAAACTACAGATAAACATACTAAAAAACTGTGTGATATAATAATTTGCTTTTACTTTTCAGTTTAAGACATTTAAGGCCACATTAACAAAAGCGTCTCATGTGATGATAACCCTACAGATTATAGCGCACCTCAACACATAAAATCTTTTGTGAATGAAGTTCATTTTATGAAGTACTGAAGCACGATAATCATTTTCATAGCTCTCTGATGAAAGAATATCACCACAATTGTAAGATCGAAGTGCTGAATGATCTCTTGTATGCTTAACTCCTGTACTGATGTACTATATCTTAAGGTACTTCCTTCTTCATCACATTATGTCTCTCCCTTGCACCTTAGATAATAAAGAAAACAAGTGCAGGCTACCTTAGAAAAGAAGAGCTGCTTTCAAGAACCACAGCTATACAGAACATTGGAGATTTCACATAACATTTCATTCTTAGACAGAAACCTCTTTTTTCTTTCTAAAATGCTAAAAATCTCATTTGACATTTTGGTGTGCAGATACTGCTCGACCTGCACAGATATTTTTTGTTTACCAGCTTTGCTGACTTTTTTTAGTGTAAAAAATAAATTATCTGTCATTTTTTTTTTAATGCTAAATCATCCCAGGGCTTTTCAACTTATTCAGCATTGCCTCCTCCTCTGACAAACCTATGCCGACACACAAACCATGCTAGAACTGTGGTTCCTTCAGTTCAGGCGCGGTGGGGAAAAAAATTCTGCAGTTTTATTCAGTGATGCACCATGGAGCTACAGTAGCCTAGGAGACAAAAGCTATCCGACTACATTTTGCCAGTGCCGGTTGATTAAATTATGCCTTCTCTGGGATCCTAAATCACAGACAGTACTGAGTATGGCTGCAAAATCCCCATTATAAACCCCCCAAAATGAAGAGTGCAGAATGCAACCTCCATGGTGATTTGGTCACTTAGTTTCATCTAGACAAGAAAATCCCAGATCTGCTGTTTTCTGTTGTTCTCGAGTGCTTGTCTGCTTGGCGAGGTTGTCAGAGGACACAGCAGTGCTGAAGCCAGATGAAAAAGATAATGCAGTTTCTTTCCTGACCTGCAGTGAGGGATACAGGGGCAGCATGTGTGGAGTGGAGAGTGGGAGGAGGAGACCGGTGAGAGGGAAAAGCGCTCACTTACTGTTTCATCAGTACAGATTGAATGGATTTGGGTCCCAAACATCACAGATGTGAAAATGAGGAAAAGGAGCCCCTCAAAACACAAGAGGATGAGCAGGATGACAGTCGCTGGAGGTGAGAAGGTACTGCACTCTGGGGAGAACACACAAGACGTTTACACTGGGGAGCTCTGCAGAACAGGAACACACACCACAGGGCGACTGCTTGTCCGCATGTTCTGTGTTTATTTCAGAGCAACTGACCTCCCTTTCAAACACAATCTGCATCGACTGCATGGATCCCGTTGTAGAAAAACGCCCCGAGTTCGGGATGTTTTTGAGCAAAATGAACTAGAATTATTTAACATCTATGAAATCACGATGAAAACTAAACACGAAGGTAAACACAGAAGATGCAGATTCCAGGCACCCGAACTTCAAACACACAGCTCTCGGTTTGCAGCCGAATCGAAACGCAAGTCTCACTGACGGCCCACCAGGCAGACTGCAGAAACCGAACAGCCAGCCTTGCTTTGCCAAAGGCAGGGTTAAGAAAGACATGAATACAAACGGGCGGCACAGATCCGGTGACACAGTTTCTTATTACAGAAAGCAGCACATCGCTCAGCAGACAGAAAAAAAACATACCTGGATAAAATCCAGTATATGCAGCAGCCCAATGAGCACTTTATTCATAAATACAGAGGCTAGAGGAGATGTTGTTTTCTAATAAATTAACTACACTTTGGCCATAAGGGAATACAGTCAAACTTCAGCACTATGGCTGAGTGTATGTAATTGTTATTGATGGCAATGCTGCACAATTAACCTTTCTTAAACTCCTATTAAAAGCACAGCAATAATAATGCCAATTGTGAAGAAATAAAATGTTAGTTTGTGCTGCCAAAACTTATTTCATGCAAACCACAGTGAAAAAGAGATCCGAATGCTTCCAACAACAACCAGCAACAGAGAAACCTGGAGTGTCGAAGCTTTCAAAGTTTTTTTGTGTATCAACCCAAAAAGCTGATGCCCCAAGATGGGAGACCATCTGATAAACTGTTTTCAACCTGAAGTATTTATGGTGTCAAAATCACATTTTTTTAACTTTCTAAATATTTAAAATATGGCTCAAGAAACAAACTAAACTGATTCAAGGCTACTAACATCAATACATTACTACATGTACTTGGATTGCTTTGAGATAATCTGAACTGTTTTTTGAGTGTCAAACCGAAAGGCTGATGCTGTAAAATGGGAGACTGCCTGATTTTTTTTTTTACCTGAAGTATTTATGGAACCAAAACTTTGTATAGTTCCTAGTAATTTTTTTTATATTGCTTAAAAAAAACATACTAAACTAATTGGAAACTATCACATCAGTACATTACCATGGGTTCAAACTGTTTTGAAATAATTCTTTCACTACATAAAATAATATACAGTGTTGAAAAGACAAACAAAAGTGGCTCAATTATCACAAGCATGTAAAATACACACATACAAAAAGGAAGGCAAGACGGTGTTCAAGGAGGTCAGGAAATAAAACTAAATCTTAAGCAGTTCACCTAACCAGACGCAGCCAGCTGTGGTCTGTGACACAGCTCTTGGAGGTGCTGAAAGTTTAAAAACTCTTCACTTACTTGTCCAGTCTTCTTCGAAGCAATACAGAAAGTGAAAAGCTACCATCATCAGGGCATGCAGGGATATTAGTGCTATATACATCTGCAAAACAGAGAAAAGATTACCTCAACATCCAAAACTGAGATTATTATTTTTTTGTTAAATGAAGGAATACCCCTACTCCTGTGACTAGTACTAACACTACTCCAAATGGTTTGAAAAAGGCTAAAGTGATTAAAAGATTCAGGTCGTGTCCTGGTCTCTGTGCCTCGCAGTGAAGATGCTGAGCCTCGGAGATGGCGAAGTGCAGTTTGTTGACATTCGTACAGCTGATGAAGCAGGCAAAGTAAAGATTGCTTCAGCGTGGCTTGGAGAGCTGCAGCTCTCGTACAGAAACACCACGTGCTTTTACTGCGACATGGAGACTGTGGGCAAAGACCAGATCAAGGCTGAACAGGGGGGCGCTTTCCTCTCCGTCCCGTTCACGTTCCTCTCCGGTACACTTGCAGCAATGTTTGTAAAAAGGTTTTCACTTAGTTGAAAACAGAAAAGCGCCCCTTTACACTTCAACATCTTCATATAGTGATGACAAAGGCATCGGCAACTGGGCTCAAATCCTATGCAACAAATCAAAAGATGACTTCTTGTGCTGGGAGAAAAAAACAAACACGAACTGTACCGTAGCGTACTCTTAATATCTGCCCTCCGTGCTTATTGGAAGTTTTCTGCTTTCAGGAAATGAAGTAATTACATGCCACAGTATGGCACAATCCATTATGCTTTACCCAATGCTAATACCGCAACAAAGCCAGGAATGGCAGCCATAAAGAACTGTCACTAAAATATTCATGCCTGTGTGCGTGCTTTCTAGGGCTCATAATTCATTCATACGTTAAATTCAGAGAAGGCGATGGAGAACAGGCCTGACCCGAGCCAAGAACCCGATGATACAGGTCATGTCCCAGGAGGCTGTGATGCCAATGGAGCTCCTTGTGTGCTCCTCTGAGATGATTCCAGGCTCTATAGTAATAGATGGGCGCTGGCCTTCCTTGTGCAGGAAGGTCTTTTTCACATACAAAAGAGTGAGGTATTTGGGGCTACACCACAGGACACACTCACCGTAAATAGGACAAAGTACTTCTGGTTGTTTTCCCCTACGCAGTTATTGACCCAGGGGCAGTGGTGGTCCATCTTCCGAATGCACCTCTTGCAGACACTGAGGAGGAGACGAATGCAAAGTGGAGCTTAGTAGAGGACACCAAGCAGGCTGGGTACAACCTGTACTTCATCTACAGCTCCCCTAAAAGACTGCAGCCTCTGCAGGGCAGCCTCACAGGCCTATAAAGCATAACGGACTGCTAATTAATGGGGACTAATCACAGGGACGGCTGAAGAGGACATCTGTTGCACCCGGCAGGAGCTGACTGGTGTGGCGGTTTCTTTCTGCTTCCACCCGAAGCGGAAGTGCGGGCTGGCCTACAAACCCCAACCTCGGAGGCACGCGGGCGCATTTTGGTGGAGCTCCTGGCACAGCTTCCAAATCAATTCTAATATCGGTTCTGTAACCCCTGTGAAAACGTATCGATTTACCATAAACCCAGAGGAATACCCCCTTTTCACAGGCGGCTTCTCTTTTATTGAACTGCTTCCATCCAAATATTCTGAGAATACTGGGCCACATTATTCTTGCCAGAACACATTTAACTACAGCAACACCAACCATTAAGTATGGCGCAGATTATCTCAGTCAATTTGATTAAGTGCAGCAACAGAGCTCTGCTAATCCAGACAACAAGGTGCTCTGCCAACACTGACTGGACTTCGCATCCACTGGAATCTAATATAAGAATACAGCTCTGTAAGCGTCAGAAACATTATTGGTTTCACAGGTCAATATTAGTGATATTACTCCAGCTGTTTACCTAAAATAACATCAGTAAATACAAGATCCGTGCTAATCAGGATCTGTGAAACTGCTGGTATGAGCTGCAGCGATATTTTAACAAACTTTGTGACCTTTTCTGTTTAAGAGTATGAAAAAAAATGTCTGCCAGTTATTATATGCTTGTGGATATAGACTAGAACGCTTAATGTTATCTATGTGGACATAAAAACCTTGAGGGAAATAAATATCTTTCAGACAAAAGCCAAGCTTTGCTTTAGTGTATTCATTACTGCTGCCTTTCAAATAAACAGCACTTCTACAGCTGCCTCTCCAATCTAAAGGAAAGACAGCAAGAGGCCACTTGCTGAGGCCCAGCCCTACAGGGAGCTCATCAGGGACAGAGAAATGGCAACAGGATTTAAAATGACAGGACCTGCTCAAATCCTTCGGTTTGGGAAGACTTACACTGTAACACATGTTTACATAAATGCACTGGGATTGACAAACTAAACAACAAAACACCCTTCTTCAAAGGGATCATTATTCTAAATGGCGGCTTGTGTGCTAATGCACAAGCACTTTTATTTTTTAATTGCAGACAACGACGTTCTTGGGCAAAGTCGTGGTACGATTTTAAAATCCTTATAAGGGGTTAAGGCTGTTTCAGATCTTTGGTAAGGAAAGAAAACAGTGGGAAAAACTCCAGTGGCTTCCCGCCTGGAAAAAACACACAGTGAAAGTAAATGTGTGCAAAGTACAACTTCCACATACAGACAATGCTCTGCAATTGCTTAACGCAAACAGACTTCACAAAAGTAGCGAGCAGCTCTGTAGGGGTCTGTGCAGCTCTGTAAATCCTGGAGTCGCGCTCCTACCTGCAGTGGTGCGCCCTGTCCGGTTTGATGCTGCAGCACTTGGGACACTTGTACACCACCTGCCCGGGCTTCAGCTGCAAGCTCTCGATGAACTCCTTGGTGGCGTTTCCTTTTGGCACGGCCCCCTGCAGCACAGCAAAACGAGCGGCTGCTGAACAGGGCCGGAGCACGTCTGGACCACGCCACAGCAGCGAACGAGTCAGTCTACCAAACAGCTGCACACACAGCCCCGGGCCAGGGGGAACACGCTGGTACAGATGCCAGTACGTACAGTACCTACGGTACGTACAAGAGGCCCGATAAATGTGTGCAGCCACAGACAGAGCGGGGCAGAACCGGGCCTACTCACCGGGTCAGTCCTCTGAAGGCCAGCACAG